AGATAAACCGAGGTCCGGGCGCCCGGTGCAGAGCGCCAGCCACGCCGAAGCCCAAAGCCCAGCTCCCCACAGGGGCCACATGCCCCCCCCACCCAGGATGTTACTGAGGGACCCCTCCGAGGAGAAGAGCAGGGGATGGTCCCAAAAGTCAGGGGTCACATGGTTCCAGCAGTCGCTGCTGGCAGAGGGAGCGCTTGTGAATGACGAGGAAACGTCCGGAACCCTGACCACGTTCGATTTCTCGATCTGAGGAGCAACGCTGTAGAAGTTCATTCTCTGCACGTATTTATTTGTGAAATGGGGCAAATACGCTTCACGCACTTTTCTGCATTCTGTCGTATGGCATCTCCTCGTGTGTTTGAAAGCACCGGCGAATCTGAGGGCCCACTGTGCGGGGCGCTTCGCACTGGCCGGGCAGAGCCCCCGGCCTCAGCCCCCGCCCTGGTGGGGTGCCGGTGAAGGCTGTGTGGGTTTCCCTCGGCTCGGACGGCGCAGGGTCTCCCAGCAGCCAACATGTCAAGTCCACTGCGGGCTGGGGCAGGGCTGCCTGCTGGGCGGTGGGGCGCGGCCCCTCCCCCTCACTGCCCCCATTCTCTCTGGGTCTCCTGCCATTTCGATTTCCCGAGATGGCTTTGAAGGTGGCCCCTCTGACGTGCTACGGACCTCTCCCTCTGTGCGGGCTTGGAGCGGTCCTCCTCCTGTCCCCTTCCCTCTCTAACAGCACAGGTGGCCTTGATGTGGGGCCCAGCACTCTCTCCTTTGCCGCCCCCTCCCCCCAGTCTGGGAAGATTATGGTGCAAACAGTTCTCCCTTGACTCCCAGGCAGCTGGGCCTGGACCCAGGCCAGGGCCCTATGGATCCTGTGGGCTCAGGGCCAAGAGGCTGGGATGGGAAGGACATTTCCCCCAACCTGTTTACCAGGACCCAAGGCCGCTATCTCCAGTTCCAATCTGCTGCCTCCCTTTATCTCAGTGGGGCCAGCCCCTGGTTCCCAGCAGCAGCCTCCCCGCCGCTCACTTCCTGCCAGCAGCCCAGGGTTACAGGAATACGCACGCTGAACTCGGCTCGTGCGCGTGTGAGTGTGTGCCCACACCCCAGAGCCTGCACCTGGAGGGGTGCCAGCGAGCCTGGGGGTACCGTGAACGCAGCCGCCCCAGAACTCACGTCTTGCTAAACCCTGCAAGCCTGCCCAGTGTCCTCCCACTGTGCCAGAGAGTGGCAAGTAGGTATCTCAAGAAGGCCAGGGAAGGGGCTCTCTTAGGGACCCCCAGAGAGGGTCCTTCATGGAGAGACCAAGGCAGGAGCAGGGTCTGTTCCTCACCCCTTCCTGGCCCCCTCTTGCACAGGACCCCAGGGACCTCCATGGTCAGAGCTGCTGACACGGCTCCTGGCCCCCACGACAGTGTCTGCGCTGACAGTGTCCACGCAACCCCGGGGACCAGGGTTGGAGGAAGTGGACCCATGTGTCTCCCTTCGTCGGTTGCTCAGCCGGAGTGACCGCGGGCCAGCTCCAGGCTGGGCAGACAGGACACTCCAAAGGCTAAGAGCATCCTGGCCCTGGCCCATAACCCTGGGGGCAAGGAGAGGAGATGACATGGACACCCCAGAAGGCAGGTCACCTCCCTCCCCTGCTGGGGCAGGGCTTAGGGGGGCTTCCTGGGAGAAAGAACCGCTCAGCAGAGACCCAAAGACCAAGAAGGTGACAAGCAAGGACGTGTGCGGATGGTTGGGGGTGGTTTCCGGGGCAGAAGGAACACAGGTGCAAAGACCCAGGGGTGAGACAGGGGCCAGCGCATTCGGGGAACCCAAGTGTTGCCATGCGGTGAGAGGGAGGGGACTGTGACAAAGAGCCCGGCTGGGGAGGGAGGGGGCGGGGCTGACCGGGAGGTGGCCTAGCCCAGGGCTGTGGCCTTGGGGGAGGAGGCAGCCCGTGTGGCGGGGTAGGGCTGGTCTGCGTGGGGGCAGGAGACAATCCCACCACCTTCAACCTCCAGCAAGGGCCACTGCTTAGGGGCTGGACTCTCCTCTGAGACGACTGCTGGGGTCCGCTCAGTAACCTGGGGTCGTGGGGAGGGGGCTGCTCTAGGGCCTTCTGGCTTCTCAGCCCTGGCCTTGGAGCTGTGAGCTGTTCCCAGCTCATCAATAAGACGACCCAGAGATCAGACGCAGCACAAGCACACAGACATATACACATGCATACGCACGCATACATGGGCACCCCACATCCATCCCACACTTACACACACGTGCAGACCCCCCACACTGCCGCACACGTGCGTATACACACACGGGGGTTGCACAGCACATGCTAACGATGCTCACGCGTGTGTGCTCATGGACGCGTGTGCGTAGGTACACGTGTGCACACTGATACACACAGACACACAAGAGCCGACACAACCCCCCCGAGACCAAGCTGTGGGCAGAGGGTCTCCCCCTCACCGCCCAACAAGGCCTCAAAAACTGGGGGCGCAGCCGGTGAAGTGTCTGCCTTCAGCTCGGGTCATGATCTGGGGTCCTGGGATCGAGCCCCGCATCAGGCTCCCTGCTCAGTGGGGAGCCTGCTTCTCCCTCTCCCTCTGCCCTCCCCACCCCCTGCCGGTGTTCTCTCTCACTCTCTCGCTCTCAAATAAATAAATAAAAATCTTAAAAAGAACAAAAGAAAACAGAAACATGTCATCTTGCTCAGGGGAGGGCCCCCACCCTAATTGCTCCCTCCACCTCCTTCCTCCTTCCAGAGGGTGAGGCAGGGCTGGCCCAGGGGCCCTAGGACTGGGGAGGAGGAGGCAGCTGCTGGTAGGTAGAAGGAACCTCTGGGAGGCCCCAGCTTCCCTCAGGAAGAGACCAGCTCTCTGGGGAGACAGCTCTGTTATGGGAGGAGAAAGGCTGGGTTGATGACCAGCTTTGTCACTTTGGTGGCCTTCTGGATGGTGGGCTGGCCCTAAGCCCCTGCCCAGTCCCCCTCCTCCAAGGGTGCTATGACGATGGACAGGGAGCCTGTGGGTGAGTAGGCTTGGCAAACTGGGAAGCGCCTGCAAACAGAAGGCCAGAACTGGGACATGCCTGGGGATCCGATCCACGTTGGCCCCCTTACTCCTTGCTCTTCTGAGGGCCATCACTGCTGCCCCAACCCCTCCCTTCCTGTCCACAGAGACCTCTGCTCCCCACCCCCTCTTCCCAGCAAAAGGGCTGGAGCCAGACTCAGAGATAAGGGGTTTGTTTTCCAAGGGCCCAGAATTCAGTACAGACTGCGGGTCAGGGTCAGAGGGGCACTGGGGTGGGGGAAGGCGCAATGAGCCTTTCCTTTAGATGGGGGCCTTGGGGCCGCAGATCCTATAGGGATCTTGTGATTTGTGCCCTTTCCAAGAGGCCCGCACTAGGCATGGGGGGAGAGGTGGAGAGCTCCACGAAGATGCCCTAACCCCGAGAGAGCTCCGTCTCCACCCCTGCTCTCTCCTCCGCGGGCTGGCCTCCTCCCGAGGTCTCCAGTGCCCCACCTCCCTCCTACCTGGAGCTTTTGCCTTCTGTTCCTTCTTCATCTGATTAGTGACCTGCTCTGTCTTTACAGCTCAGCCCAATTCCTGCTTCTTCCAGGAAGCCTATACTGATGCCTCAACCAGGCCCCTGGCAGTGTCTCCCGGGGCTGATATCCACCTCCTTCCCAGTGCTCTTCTCTTGGGCAGTGTCCTGTCCCCACCCAGGGGACCTGGGCTCCGACAACAGTCTGCTCTTGTCTGCCTTTATCCGCAGACCCAACTGGGAGCAGGCACATGGCAGACCTCTGATGAAGACGGGAGTGCCCTTTTCGATGAGCGCTGCTCTGGCCAGAGCTGTGGGCACCTCTTCTGGGGAACTTGGGCCCCTCTGGAACCAACATCCTCCCACGGGGGGAGCAGCGACATCTGTGGCCTTACTCCAGGGAGGGGAGCAGCCGAGTGAGGCTAGGAGCTCAGAGGGAGACTTGTCCTCCCTGTGTGAGGGAAGGTCACCCGGCAGAAGGTCCAGTCTGGGCTGAGTCACGTCCTCCCCGTAGCAGCAACACCAAGCCCCAGGGCGCTGGGCTGGGACCAGTAAAGATGGTCCTAGCAGCAGCAGAATAAGAACACTCAGGCGGAGTGCTCACGCACAGCCAGGGACCAGGGTCAGCACTGAGGACAGTAAATCATGGAATCCTCAAAACCAGGAGACTGAGGCACTGAGAGGAGAAAAGGCTCGTCCAAAGCGGCTGGCCTGGTGAGTGAGGACTTGAGTCAGTCCGTGCCCTTCACTCCTCAACCCGGCTGTGCACCTCAGCGGGAGGCAGCCCCCTCTCAAAGGCAGGGGTATGCACGAGGGGGCTCTCTGTGCACCCCTCTAACGCTGCCTCCCTCGTACCCCATGAAGTCCGACGCCCAGACCGGTTGCACTGGCACCTAGTAGGTACTCAGCAAATCTGTATTGAAACAAAGTCAATGACGGGACGCTCTTTTCAGGGATGTAACACATGGAGTTATGTAACAATGGAGCCAGCCGGCCCGGCCACTTCCTTGCCAAGTGACCGCAGGCATTAGCTTGTGCGCGGCTCAGTTTTCCCATCTGTGAAACGGGGATGCTACTGGGACTTGCCTCCTAGACCTGCCGGGAGGCGTAACTGCACTAACATTGGTAGGGTGTCCGAGACAGTGCCTGGCACACGGCAGGAGTCACACAAGCGTGCGCTCTGGAACGCTCGTCGTCCTCGGTTTCTTCTTGGGTAAGCAATACCCTCCCTCTCCAACATGTTCCCCTCGCAGGAAGCCCGAACTACAACTCCCAGCATGCCTCGGGGCCCGCCTGCCCGAGCTCCCTCAGTGCCGCCTGGACGAAGTCCGAACTACAACTCCCAGCATGCCCCGGGCACTCCCACGGGCCCAGGTCAGCCGCTGCGGTCGAAGACCGTGAAGCCCCGCCGCGCCAACCCCTTCGCTCCCGGTCGCCCTCGCTGGGAAGGGTCCGGGTGGAGGTCGGGAGCTGCCCCCGCCATGCTCCGCGGACTGGCCCGGGCCGCTGCCAGGCGACCCGGGGCCCTCTGGACGCGGGGGTCTGGGAGCGGGACGGGGGTCCCAGCGCACGTGGTGGACCTGCGCAGCGACACGGTGACCAGACCCGGGCCGGCCATGAGGCGCGCCATGGCCGAGGCGGTCGTGGGGGACGACGACTACGGCGAGGACCCCACCGTCCGCGGTGAGCCCGGTGTGTGGGCCGCGGCCTGGGGGCGTCGCGGCGACCCCAGAGCGCTGTCCGTGGTGCTGGCGGGAGAAGGGGCCCGGGGCGCGCAGGGGCTGCGGCCTTGCTGCTCAGTCCGGCCCATCACCCGACAGTCTGCTGGAAATGCAGATTCTCGGGCCCCGCACACCCGCTGAGCCAGAGTCTGCAGGCTCACGGGCCTCCCGGGGGACCGGTGTGCGCCGTAAGGTGTGGAGCTGCGGATGGGATGTGTGTGGTCTCCTGCAGAGCACGGCTCTGGGATGCCGAGCAAGGGTGGCACCCAAGGTCTCCTACCCAGCGAATGGCAAAGCAGTCTTCGAACCCAGGTCTTCTCTCTCAAACCTGTAGCTACTGTCCTGCACCCAACGCCTTTCCACATGAAGACACACAGGAAACCCGTCTAGAAAAGAGGATTTGGACTCCGATAACCTAGGGAGCATTTTCACACACAGTGTTGAGGGTGGCCACCGTAGTGGACCACTGCTATGCAAGGGTGTTTACCCTCTGCCCTGCCAGGGGCAAGCCACAGGTTGCTGTTTGAGCCCCAAGGGGCTGTGTGTGGGGTCAGGTGGTGATCGGCGATCACGCATCCTGCAGACACCTACCGCCTGGGACTTCGAAAATGCTGAGCCCACTGCTTAGAAGGCAGCTAGACACACAGACGCCATGCGGCGGGGAAGTGTCGGGGCTGGCATCTGTCCACAGAGAGTGCCTCGGGAACCGGTGGGGAGGGGAGGCGTGGAACTCACAGGGAAGGAGGACTTCGCAGAGTAGCCTCTTAAAGAGCGAGTGGCACCCCCAGGCAGGGAAGGGAGCTGGCTCATTGGGTATTGAGGATACAGATAGGGACTGTGGCTGGAGTGTGGGGTACTGGGAGCCACCAGTAACTGGAGGTAAAGACAGAGGGCAAATCCCACTGGGCCTGAATGTCATGCTAAAGACTTCAGAGTTGATACCACAGGCAGAGGGGAGCCAGAGCAGCCTTTAAAGCAGGAGCCTGAAGTCCCCCCCTCCGCCCCCCCCCCCAGCGAGTCTCCCCTTCTGAGAGCTCCTGTCCTTCTGTTCTGGGAGAGGAAGTCAGCAGAGAAACCGCAGTGCCCCACCTGCAAGGGGCTGATGGGAAAGGAAGTGAGACAGGTGTGAGGTCTGGATGGGACAGGGGGGTTCAAACCACAAAGTTTCAATGTGGGGGAGACCAGGGCCCAGGGGGAGGCTGGGAGCAGACTGTTGACTGAGAGGTCTCTATACCTAGGTATGTGGTCACCAAGACCACAGTCTGCAGCCCACAGACCAGGGCTTCTGTCTGGCTTGGCCACTCACCTCAGCAGGACGCGAGCTCACGGTTATGAATAATGCAAAAAGAGTGCCATTGCTGATGGAGTCTCCCCGTGCCTCCTGTCCCTTCCCTCCTCAGAGCTGCAGGAAAAGGTTGCCAAGCTGCTGGGGGTGGACCAGACCTTGTTTGTGCCCACTAACACCATGGCCAACCTCATCTCTGGTGAGCGTGGTGTGGGGTGACCCCCGTTTGCCCTCCAGGTCCTCCCTCTGCATTTCTCTCCTTGGTGCGAGGGGCAAAGCTGGGACTACATCAGTGGGGTGCTGAGCCGTCTGGATTTCTGCTGGGCTCAGCGGAGAGAGTCCCTAGCAGGAGATGAGGGAGAGGAGAGTGAGTTCAGCGTGTTCATGCTCCTCCCCCAGCTCCCTCCCTAGGTGGTCTCCTGGGAGCCCTCTCCACGCTTCCCTGTCTCCAGGTTCTGGTGACCACACCTCCCTCTCGACCCTTATGGCCTGGGGGTCTTGCTCTGTCCCTTGTGGCTTCCCTCCACACTGCTACACCTTTGTAAATCGCCCCTTTATTAAACTCTCTGGCTTCCTAGTGGGCATGGGCCTCTGTTTGCTGCTGGGCCCGACTGATACCCCCCAAGCTGCCTGAGCTGCTTGACCCCCAAGCCCGAGCTGCTTGACCCCCAGGAGCAGCATGGTGACCAGCTTCCTGGGCAGGACGTGCTCTGTGGGTGGGCTGCAGGGCACAAGGCACAACACCTCACTGGACGGTTATCCTGGACTTTCGTAGTTCCTGGGACGGTTCTCTGGCCCATGGCAGTAAGAGGTCTTGAAGGGGTGCCGTTTCCTAATTGGCATAGGCACTTGGGAACTAGCCTCCGGGCTCAGCCAGGAGCTGGGCGGGAGCAGGTGGGCCCCACGGGACTCCCAGCCAACACTGCCCCCCCCCCATCTTTCAGTGATGTGTCACTGCCAGCGCAGGGGTTCCCAGCTCCTCCTCGGGCAGGAGTGCCACCTCCACGTCTTCGAGCAGGGCGGGGTGGCTCAGGTAAGGACCCGGCGCCCCTCACCTGGGGCCAGCTCAGCATTTCTGGCGGGAACCTGTTTCCAAGGCACCATGTTGGGACCTGCAGAGGGAAGAGATGGCCAGGGTGGCGGGAAAGGGAGCCATTCCCAGACTGACCACGTGGGGGCAGCCGCGGCCCCAGCCCCCCGCCCCCGCCCGATCGGACACGGGCCGTTCTTGGCGCTCTGCTGCCCCCTCGTGGGCACCCGGAGCACGCGGCGCTCGGGCTCGGGAGAACACAGCCCTTGGTTCCTCCCCTTCTTTTTTAAAGCATTATTATTATTTTTTTTTTAAGATTTTATTTATTTATTTGACAGACAGAGATCACAAGTAGACAGAGAGGCAGGCAGAGAGAGAGAGAGAGAGGTAAGCAGGCTCCCTGCCGAGCAGAGAGCCCGATGAGGGACTCGATCCCAGGACCCCGAGATCATGACCTGAGCCGAAGGCAGCGGCCTAACCCACTGAGCCACCCAGGCGCCCCGATTCCTCCCCTTCTTGCTGGGGTGTCTGAGCCCACGTCCGCAGCAGAGGGGCAGGCTCGATGGCCCCGAGCTGGGGAGGAGCCGCGGGGACAGAGGTGGGAGGCGACGCTGCGCCCCCGGACCTGATCTTCCCTCCCTCTTTCCCCAATACCTGCAGATCGCGGGGGTGCACTCCCACCCCCTCCCAGACCTGCCCCGCGGCACCCTGGACCCGGCTGAGCTGGAGAGGATGGTCACAAGGGGCCTGGGGAGCCCCTACCACCCGGTCTGTGAGCTCATTTGCCTGGAGAACACCCACAGCAGCTCCGGGGGCCGTGTCCTCCCCATTGACTACTTGCGCCAGGTGTGCCCAACCCTACCACTCTGCCCACCCCCCACCTGCCCCCAGCCAGCCAGCACCCCCCACCTGTGCCCGGAGCCCCCTCCTGGGAGGGTGTCTCCTCATACAGGCCATGGGCGCCCAGGGCAGCTGGGACTGCTGTGGGAGGGAGGCATGTGCCCCTAGCCTGCAGCTACTGAGGGCACTACGTCCCCAGGTTAGCCCCAGGACAGAGACACCCCCCCTTCTCCCCAGGGAGCGAGTCCCATGAGCACCTGCTCGCATGGTATGAGGGCTGAACTGCTCGGCTCTCCGGTGTGAGAACTTGCCGCTAATAATCCTCCAGACCCTCTCCCTGTCCACGGGAGTGGGCATCTCCTCCGCGGAGGCACGGGATGGCTCAAACAGGGTGCGGCATGTATGGCTCGCGCCGCGTCTGCATTTGGCCACGGCGAGCCCACCACTTATTATCAACTCCCTTTCACAGAGGACGGCGCCCAGGCTCAGGCAACTGAGCGCCTGCTCCGGTCCGAGTGGGCCACGCTGGACACCAGCCCAGCCCTGATCCCTCTGGACCCCTCCAGGCTCCTGGAGACCGGTCCTCCCTCCGCTCGGGGCCCAAGCTCAGCCCCTCTGACCGTTGCCTGCTCTTTGCCCCCAGGTGCAGCTCCTGGCCCGGAGCCACGGGGTCCGCATCCACATGGATGGGGCCCGGCTGATGAACGCCGCGGTGGCTCTGCACGTGCCCCCCGCCCACATCGTGGAGCACTGTGACTCCGTGTCTCTCTGTTTCTCCAAGGTGGGGAAGCCTCGGGCTGCCTCCCAAACACAGGACAGCGGTGGGTGTCCGCAGTAGGGGTCAGCTGGGTTCTGAGCTCCCAAGCTGGCCGCGGCTGGCCCTGGGCCTCCTTAGCCCCTCCCCAGATGGGGCCCCGTCCCCTCCCCATGCCCCTCCCCCAGCCACAAGGACAGAGATGCACACCTGGGGGGCTGGCAGGCAGGACTCTCTCCTTTCTTCCTCCCAGGGCCTCGGTGCACCGGCCGGGGCCTTGGTTGGGGGGCCCAAGCACTTCATTGAAGAAGCCTGGCGCCTCCGGAAAGCTCTGGGCGGGGGCATGCGCCAGGCCGGGGTGCTGGCTGCTGCCGCCCTAGTGGGACTGGCGGACTTCGAGGAGGTGCTGCAGAGGGACCACCAGAACGCCCAGAGATTCGCCAAAGGTACGTGGACCATGGCCCCTACCCCCACTCTCACTTCCTTTTGCTCCCAGAAGAATGTCGGGGGGTCCCCTGCAGCAGGGCCCAAATCCCCAGCGGGTGTACTTCCTTCTGACTCTAGAACGTGTAGGGCAGCCACTGAGCCATGAGGCGTGGGCCCAGGACAGTAGGATGCTTTACCAGACCCCGGTGGAGGGTCTGGACCAAGCAGCACTCAACGGAGGTCAGGAATTCCTATTTCCTGCAGGATCTGGCGCGGGAAGCCTCCAACCCAGGTCTTAATCTTTATCACTTGAGTCCTCAAAACAATCCCATGATGTTCCCACTTTACAGATGAGGATACTGAGGCCCAGAGGTTAACTGATTTGCCCCAGGTCACACAGCTGGAAAGTAGTAGAGCCAAGTCTGTGTGGCTCCAAGGGTCCCTCTTTTCCCTGCGGCGGCTGGGCTGCCCTCTGCCCTTGCTGGGATGACAGGGCCAGACCTCGGGGCTGAGGTCCTGGGGTCAGGCTCCACTCACCAGAGGCCCCGGGCCCAGGGCTCCAGGGGCTGGCATCCCCCATCTGCTCCGTGGACCTCGCCGCCGTGGAGACGAACATGGTGATGGTGAAGGTGGACGGGCTGCCGCCTGAGGAGCTCTGCCGGCGTCTGCAGGCCGTGAGCGCGGACGAGGTGGCTCAGACCGGCCGTGCAGTGCGCGTGCTGATGTTCCCCTGGACCGAGCGGTCAGTGCGCGCCGTGTGGCACCGCGACGTCTCCGCACAGGACACCGAGCTGGCGCTGAAGAAGTGGGGGTTTGTGCTGAAGCAGCTGGGGCCCTGAGGGCGGGGTGACCGGACCCTGTGCCCCGGCTGGGACCCAGGTGGGGAGTACAGGTGTCCCGAGAGAGCAGGTGGCAGGAGAGGCAGTGAAACGACACCCCGTGACCCTGTGACCCGTCTGCTCGGACCCCTTGACTCCCCACACTCAGGGGGAAGCCTTCCACCTGTGCTCCTTCGGCAAGCCTCCTGCATCTGGGACAGGGCACCACGGGGGCGGACCGGTGGGGCCCAGGCGAGCCCCTTGCCGGAGCCCAGGAAGCAGCCAGGGCAGGGGCTCTGCTCACAGCTCGCAGAGGAGGAAACTGTCCCGAGCCATGTGCTTGGGGGCGCGCAGCTGGTGAGCATGTCCCGCGCTCCTGCTTGGGGACACACAGGGAAGGGTCACTGGAGATTAGAAAGGGACAGCGGGGCTGGATGCCCGGGAGCCCTAGCTGCCCCGCGTTGGGGGCTAGGGTTTATCCTGTGGTCACCTATAGACTTGTTCCTTTTAAAAAAAATTTTTTTTTGCTTACAAAAGAGTATGTCTTTATTGTAGATGATCTGGGATTGGATCTCTTTTTTAGCAGTTCCTGGGGTCATGTGGGTCCAGAGGCAGACACGGAGGCCCCCCACCAAACCCTTGTGCTCCCTGCTCCCCAGCGAACCGCACAAGCGCGGTTAGAGCCTCACAGGTGGAGAGGACCTGCCCGCCAAGCCGTCCCATCCAACACGGAGTGTGGGGTCGGGGCGCGGGGTCCTCTTCCACCTGTGCCGACCCTCAGAGAAGGGACCTGTTGTGTCTGCAGAAGACGTCTCTGGCTGGACGGACACACATACGCGCGCACACACACACACACACACGCACACACACAGCTGGTAAGAGTGTTACTGCCCGCACACTGTTTATAGCTCTGTTTGATCAATTCTGAAAAAACATTTAAGACAGAAAAACAAGGCTTATCTGCACGGAGCATAAACTGATTTATTTAAGGACAAAATGGCATAATGTTGCGACACGGAATGGTAAACGCTAAAACGTAGGTAGGAAGGGAAGCCCTCAGGGGGACCCCCAAGTGGTACCAGCCCCCAGGGCCCCAAGGAGCTTCCTGTAACCTTTGGAGCAATAAAGGGAGGCTGGGGGAGGGGGACCGAGGCCAGAGGGGCTGCCCTCCAGTCCTCCGCACACATCCCAGACTCCTGAACCCCAGAAGGGGCTGTGTGGGGCTTCGGGTGCTCCACAGCCCCCCTGGGGCCCCTTCTCCTCTGCCACCTCGACTTCTCTGCCTACAGGAGAAGGGGCAAGCCTCACGATGACCCAGGAGCCCAGTCACAGTGGGCCTGCACCCAGGTCTGCGAGCTGACCCCCACCCACCTCTGTTCTGTAGCCCTGGCCTCTGCCGCTCGGGGCAGCCCCGCCCCTCCTGGCTAAGAAGCCCTGGCTAAGAACCCCCACCCCTACTAGGACTTTCGCACCTGCTCATTCAGGGCCCCCCGCCCCCAGGCCCCCCCGCAGTCACAGACATTCCCCAGGGGGCTGCAGATGAGAGGATGGGGTCCAGCAAAAGCAGCAGCCGCCCCAGGACAAGGACAGAGGCCTGAGAACAGGGAGGGGGCAGGGTGTGTCCAGCCCACTCAGCTGCCCTTGCAAATCCCAGGGGACTCCCGGGCCCCCCTCCTCAGGATCCTCCCCGCCGACACCTGCCCTGGAGCCAGCAGACTGAACAGAGGCCTGGGAGGCCCGCCGGCCGGGAGGGGCATCTGGCCCTGCCGCGTGCTCCGGGACGGTCTGGGCCTCAGAGCCCCCTTCTGTAAAATGGGTGAATGGTAGCTAACGTGAGGGCGACTGGAGGACGGGACAAGCAGACGGGCAGGTGACGCTGGGCGCCGCGCCTAACTCGGTGGGTGTTTGACAGACTCAAACTCCCTCCTCCCCAGCACAGCGGGCGGCTCCTGCACCTGACCCGGGGCCCTAGGAGCGAGGACAGCATGGCGCACCAGGGCTGATGGGGGAGGGCGAGGGCAGGTCATGTCCTCGAGAGGCAAGGGGACCTGCTGAGCCCTGGGAACCTGCAGCACGCCCACCCCGACCCCGTTAACGTTCCTTTGGGTCACTTGCTGACTCTTTCTGGGACTCCCTTTTCTCATTCCCAAGAGGGAGTCACACCAGTTAGTCCCTAAAGGGCATAAACTGGGCAGGGGGCCCCCAAAACATCCGGCTTTGCCAGGCAACAGGAACCTGGCTCCTTGGCTCTTCTCCCAGCCCCCCACCCCGCAGGTGCCCCTCCCAACAAGAACTCCAGCCAGGCCTGCAGATGCAAAGGGAAACTGTGTCCCTCGCCCCTGCCACTTGCCCCTCTGGAACTCAGATGACCACAGAGTGGAGGTCCCCCGGCTGCCAGCTGAGGCTGAGGGCTCGGGCTGCCGCCAGCAGGAGGAAGCCGCTGAGCGCCTCGGAGGCGCAGGAGCCCCAGGCCAGGGTTAGAGACCAGCCGAAGCTGACGCGGACGTCCTGCACGTGCCGGGGGCCGTACTGGCGGGCGGTCTCGGCGAAGGCCAGGTGGGAGTAGCTGATGTAGACGCTGACCCCTACCAGGGTCAGGGCACCAGGGGTGGGGGCAGGGGGACCACTCGCTGTGTCTACCCACTGAGCGCAACTGCCTCACCAGGACCTGGCTAAGGCGGTCCTGGAGACCAAGAGCCCCTCCCTGCTGGCCTTTGGGGGGAACGGAGGCTCTGATGCAGTCCCCAAAGCCCCGGGCCTCACCCCACAAAACCCCCCCATGAAAGGCACCACATATACCCTCGACAACAGTCCCCACTCTACTGCCTCTGCGTACACAGCACCCTCCCATGTCCCCCAGTGTCCCTGACACACACACACACACACACACGCGCGCGCGCACGCGCACACACAGAGCCAGTGACCTCTACTGGCAGTCGGGGGATCTGGAGCTCTAACCAGCTCCCCTCTCCTTACCGTTCCCCCCACTTCATTGGGTTACTCCCCCCCCCACCCCGGCCTGAGCCTCCAGCGTCGGCAGGCCCCTGCCCGCCCCCTCCCCCGTCTGCGATCACCCCCGCCTGCTCCCATCAGCCCCGTC